TATGGAATAAAAGCAAACCCTTATAATATTCTATGTAAATACTTGACTGTAAATGGAAATAATACTTGAGCAATGCACGTAAACATAGTATTCAATTATACATACAGTAAAACTTCTCAATATGATTACCTCCTTATACTAAGCAATTTATAGTTCACTCAAGCAAATTTTTCTAGGAATGAGTGTGTACTTATTCTAAGCAATAGGCATTTATATCTGGTTCCATGAGCAATAACAAGTTCTATAATATGAACAACATGTGTTTTGTCGCTCATATGTCTAAAAAGGAAAATAATGATGTTATGTGTATTGCGCTATTGATAAATAATCACGTGCCGCGTACGAAAAGGAGATGTACTTGTTGTAGATATTTAAAAGAGAAAAATAGGCAATATTAGACAACATCATTAGTGTTTGATTTATCATCTTGTCGTATTTTACGTTAAAAGCTAATAAAATAAAATAATGTCAGCATACATATTGATTTACTCTTGATGAAAAAAGTTGAATTAATTAATTACTAAAGAGAAGAAACTAGCAATCTCTCAATAACAAATACCTCTATAAACTGATCACTCTTAATGGTGATTTTACTATAGTTTATTTTAAATATTCAAATGAACAAATAGCGAGTATCAATTATATTTTTATTGTTTATTATAGGATACATGCAATGTTTTTCTTTTTGTTTTTCATTTACTACGATAAAGAAGACATACTCGTTATCGGTAATTTTCCTTCTCAAGATTTCATGTTAATCTTATTCTTTTTTTATGATTTTTTTTAAATTTTCTTTATTTACACAAAAAATGAAAAGTATAACTAATGAAAAATAAATTCTAACAAAAAATTACATTAACAATAGTTTATTCTTTGTTTGCTATTCATTCTGTTCTTACATAAATAAATTCTTATTCAATATAAGATCGTCGTGATGCATAAAATTTTATTTTCGGACAATAATATATTATATCGAATTGATTTCAAATGAACAAAAAATAATTCGATAAATTTGTCCGTGTTAATTAAATAAAACAAGAAAATTCATAATAAAATTCACTAACCTGTTTTGTTTTATATTTTTTTGAAATTTTTTTTGAAACATAATTTTCTGTTTGAATATTAAATTTTGTCTGTTGAGGATTTGATGATGAATTTTGCATATTAAATAATGTTAATATTGATTCACGTTCTGTTTCATAAGATGTTTCATCTATTGATCGACCTTTTGATGCGAGACGTAAGGCAGCTATCCATGTTGCATATTGTTCTTCCTTTCAACATAGAAAAAAAAGAAGCCTCTTTTAAAACTAGTTTCAAACGTACTGTTGAAAATTTGATTAACGTTTCATTCATACCATCAATGGATGGTATCATTAAGCGAATTGAATATTTTTTTGCTGATATATTCATATCAGGAAGAATTTCACATCCTTTAAGTGAAATTTTTTCAATTGGTGTATTATATTGCTGAGATTCATTTGTATAATAAGTTAATTGAGTATCTCGTAAAACAAACCAATAACGTTTAAATGGTTTAAATATAAATCGTCTTGGTTTAAAAATACGTAAATAATCACGTAAATCTTCTTTTGATTGTTGATGAATATTGATTTGTTGAACTGAATTTATTGATGATTGAATTTTATTTTGTTCTAATAAAGAATTTTGTAAATTTTCAAGTGCTTGATCAATATTAGTATTATCATATTGATGATTTATATCATCGTCTTGCGACGTAATTATTGTTGATGATGAAGATTGAATTTGAATTTGAAGCTACAACATTAATAAAGAAATTCATTTTAGAAAAAGGAAAAGTTGTTTTTGGTATTACTTGTAAAGCAGCAAATGTCATCATTTCTTCTTCTGTACAATCTATATCTTCAGTTAATATTGACCATTTAGCTTGTTCATATAATTGATTTATTCGTATGGCATCAAGCTTTAAAAAATGAATAAGAATTGAAATACAAAACAAAATCAAACAATTTATTTTACTTTAGGATTTATATCATAAAATGAATAATATTTAAAACGTAATAAAACTAAATCGTTTTCATTTATATTTTGTTCCATTAACGATGTTGATGAATCACACCAAAGATTATTTAATTTACATTTTTCAATTAAATTTATTGATCGAATTATTTGTGGTAAAAGATTTTTTCTTGGTGTTAATGGTGTATGAGCAAGATTTCCATCATCATTTATTGTTAAAATATTAAGTGATTTTGATAGATTTGACGTTGAACATTGATTTTGGAATGATGAATCTGTCATTTTATCAATTGTAACTGTTGATCGTGGTTTTAATGTTGTTAGAGAGAATACTGTTGAATTAGTAGATGCATTCATAGCTAATGAATCTCCCATGGAATTATGTCGATTCAGTGTATTTAAGTGTCGACGTCGACGACGAGGTGATGTACGACGATCAGTTGTATTTAAAATTTTTGGTAAACGTAAAAGTGAAAGTTCTTCCGCATGACGAACTCCTAATAAAATAAATCACTAATAAATTTTTATCAATGAATTCATTTAGAATCTTACCAAGATCTTTACAAATTTTACAAACAGATGCATAAACTGATACAGAAAAATCAGCCTGTATTGATAACACACGTAAATCAGGTAATTGTATACGAATTGTTTTATGCATAGTGGTAAATGTTAAATAACTATCTGACTGAATACTATATTGATCAAGTGTCCATCTCGTATTTGTTAACCAAATATTCGCTTTTGGCCACCAAAGTGCATGATCAGAAAAATCTTCAGATACATCTTTCAATAATACAACGAAAAAAAACAAGATAAAAGCAATTATTGATTAAGATCGAGAGTACAACAAAATCTCTGCCTATGCGGAGCGCTCACAAATACAACTTGAGATATGAAATGAGTCAATAAAGCAGCAAAGAATTTTCGACCTTCTTTCAAAGTCGATTCTAATAAAATATGATCAGAGTGAAAACCAAGATTCAGACTTATGTCTACGCCAGAATTTGAGACTGGTGATTATAAACTTCACAGCTGAACAACAACAACCTGCAGTTTTTAGTAATCGAAAGAGTAGAGCTGAGACCGCCTTTTCGTCTGATACTATATGTAAGATAAAATTATTTCAAAAACAACCATCTCCGCAAAGTATTCAAAAAAAACAAGAAATTTTGATAAAAACTTATACAATTTGCCAAAAAATCAACAGAATTTCATATAATTTATCGAACCAATTCCTAATTTCGTTTCCTCTATATTGAGATATGGAAAGACAGTTACCTCAATCGTGCCTTGAACTAAAAGATCCTGAATTCCTCGGTCTGAAACACATGTCAAAATCAAGACTACACCAGAACTGAATACAATTGCTATATTTTTTTTCGATGTTTTACGAAAATAATGCGTTGGAAAACATGTCCACAGCTCTCCTATTATGTTTGCTGAAAACTATGGGTTGTTATTGTCGAGCTATTGATCTTACACTCGGTAACTCAACTGCGATCGAAGGGAAAAACGTCGACAGAGAATCGAACAGTTTTTTTTTAATGAACATAAATAAAAAATGAACAGTTTAAATTGAATCAAATTGAAATATATTAGAAAACAAACGGATGAAATACAAATACAAAAAAGTCTTGATAAATCAGTTGATCAACTTTAGTTAAATTTCGTGCTAGATTATCTTGTTTTTTTGACACAATCAAATACAAAGCAGTGATAATGTGGTTGTGGGTGTAGTGAGGATGATAAGACCCACACCCACCACCACAAAGAGAAACTTTTCTTCGAGTGAAATCTTTTTGTTCATTTCCTCTTTCTCTCACAATCTTTCTTTATTTCGGCAAATGTAGTAGGGAGCAGTATCGTAGGTTCGAAAGAAGAATATCCAGGCTTTTCAGCTACCTTGTAGTATTGAGGACTGCCTAGTGATAGTTTCAATAGTTTGATATCTTCCTCACAACTATGACTAGCTATAGATTTGGACAGAAAGCCAGTCGAGATCTTGTTCTCAATTCTCTATATGCACAAAGTTTCAAATCAGAAGTTCAAAATAAATTTTTTCTGAAAACCTGGGGTTTCTAGAAAAAAACTTTCATAGCTTAGTCAAATGTCAAAAAGAACCTAAATTCTTTGAGGATTTTTATTAGAACATTATGTATCATTTATAGGCAAAAAGTGATTGAAATTGGAAGAGAGCAGTTGTAGAGGTGCTTGTATCAGTCATTGAATGTTTGACACCTCACACTCATGAAAATACTTATTTCTTTTAAACGGCGTTGAAAACTTTGTTTGAAATGGTTTCTAAGTAAAATATTTTGTTTTTCTTTGATATATCCTAATAAATTCTGTCTGATGTTAGCTATCTCGAACCGATTCTGACCTTTACAGATACGTTTATTTGTCTCAGTCTATCGAACAAAGAGTTTTCTTAAGTCCGATATTCAACGTATTAATGATCATGTTTTATATAAAAAAAATGAATAAATTCAACTAACCTAATTGATTAACAAGTTGCACCATGAGTGCACCGATTGACATTGACCCCGTAACAACAAGTACTGTTGAATCGATTGTTAAATTCCATGATGATGGACTAGGTATTGATCGTTGTCCTAATGGAATAGGCATATTGTCCTCAAAAAAAAAATATTAAACGGACTTTGAACGATCGTTTACTTTCTTTCAAAGTATTTCTGCTGATTATAAATAGACGTTTCAATTAACCAATCAACAAATTTCTATTCATCATCATATTTCTATGTCCTCTCTTTTTTTGTCATCCTTCATTTTATATTTTCCGTAATAAATTTCGCAATAAAAATGAAATAAATTTATTCGCAATTAATCGAATTTTTTATATTTTATTATCGAAATAAAAATTAATGTTTTTCATTGTCCATAGAATATATATATTCCATCATTCTTTCTTTATTTTGTTTATTGCAGAATAAAATACCTATCTGTCTTCTTATAATATATTGAATACAAAATAAATCATGGGTGATTTTGAAGCAATTGGTAAAGCTTTCATTGATTTTTATTATAAAAAATTTGACTCAGGTGCACGAGATGAAGTAGCGGCGCTTTATGTAACTATACAATCAATTTATTTATCTATAAAGAATTAATATTTTTCTATATTTTTGAAAACTAGGAACCAGTTAATGGAATGATGAATTTTAATCATTCAACTTTTGCTAAGGGTGCTCAAGCTATAGGTGAAAAATTACGTTCATTAACATTTCAAACAATCGCTCATACAATATCAACATTAGATATTCAACCAACATATGATAATTGTATTCTAATTGTTGTTACTGGAGGTCTCAAAGTAAATGAAAACTAAATTTTAATTAATTATTAAGTAAGAAATTTTTATTTAATACAGGCAGATAATGATCCACCAATGTCATTTACTGAAACGTTTCTCTTACGATTTCATAATAATTCATGGCTTGTAATAAACAATGTATTTCGACTTATACTTCAAGGTTAAACGAAAAAACAAAAACCAACAATTAGTATAATTATTTTGATCAGAAAAATACAAGAAAAACATCAAAGAAAAGCCAACTTTTATAAGAACCGTCAAATTATTCATTGAACAAAACCATCATTCTTCTTTCTTGTTTTTTTCTTTCTTTTTCATTTTACTTGTCAACCTGTATCTATAAAAATATAAACACGAAAAACTCTCCATCAATCAATTTTTCTCGTTTGCCTTTGTTTCTTCTGTATTTTTTTTTACATTTTTTCTCTCATTGTCAATCATGATCATATATACATACAATTAATTCATCTAATATAAATAAGAGAAATATTGAAAAGCGCTAAATATGTCATTTCTTTTTTTTTTTCTTCTACGCTATGGTTTTGATCGATGATATGAACAAATTACATTCAACAAAAACTAGTAAGAAGAATTGCAGTAAAAAGACAATTATAATGAATCTATTCGAATGGGAAATATCTTTATGTCTATAGATTTGAATCAAAGTTCGATAATTGCATTGTTACAAGGACCTGATATTCGATATAAAAATATATTGATGAAAGATAATGAACAATTAATTGTACCAATAATGAATGATCAGTATCAAGATAAGAATTCTTTTTTACAAATTAATGTTCGTGAGTTAAAATCTGTTTTTTAATCATCTTGTTCGTTAAAATTGAAATTTTATGAGAAAAAAAGCTTCGAATTAGTTTTTGACACGTGTCAAATGAAATATTTGTCATGATTAGAGATATGATGGTGACTAGAACTACAAGAAAAGAAAGTTGTCTCAAGCAATTCTAAAGATTATCGGTAAATTTTCTATGGTTTTAAGTAAAACTTAAGAGAGACGACACAATGATAAAGTGTTATATATTGACTAAATAAAAAACTAGCATTGAAGAATTCTTTTAGATGTGATACGAATAATTTCTGAAAAAGTTTTTTTTTTGGGACGAAATTAGACTTGCTAAATTCCTAACCGAGACTAAGAGAACATGGTTCTATAAATCTCTGGTTATGATTCTTTTTACAATTGAATGTCCTAGCTTAAAATTGTGGCTGCACCACTTCGAAGAAGCTACCCAAAATAATACATACCGTTTGAACTCATATTGAGTTCATAAGAAACTCTCAATAACACTCGAGAAATTTCTAAAAGGGTTCGTGCCTGTGGGTCTCTGAAGCCGATTTATGACTGTTTTTGATTTAGTTTTAAGTACTGATTGGAAAATTAAAGAAGGGAATTCGGACCTGAAGCTATACCCATAGATAAATCTGATGACGTTGAGAATATTTCTTCGTCGAGATAATGAATTTTCGAATAAATTCAAGTTTTATGATGAATAGTCATCTTTTGAAAATTCAATATTTCGACGAACGAACATTCTTTTCTGCTAGAACTTCCAGGATATTCCCAGAGTCATCAGATCTATCTATAGGTAAAATTTAAAGTCGAGATACCATTGTTTAATTCTTCGATATATATCTAAGTTGAATCGAAAATAGTCATCACTTGACTCCAGAGACCGATGAAGACAAGCCCTTTTACGATTTTTTTAGTTTTATCAAGATATCCTTGTAAACCCAATATCAGTTCAGACAGTTCCTTCGTTAGTTAAATTTTTTCTAAACAAACTACCAGTACTTGTAAATGATAATGCATTGAAATGATGTATGCAAAACTAAAGAGTATATTCAATAGGAACAAATCGTCATTAACTAGTTTATTTCAATACAAGAAAAAGGAACTACAAAGTTTGTTTTAACGTTTTAATTAATTGTTATAAAAAAACAGATGAATAACTATAAGTATTATTCTGAAATTGTCACGAACGAAGGAACCTTTCGAGATTCTAAAATTTGTTTTTTTTTTAAGAAAAAATATGACGATTACATAGAGTATAAGTAGACATAGAATAATCTAAGTAGGTTTAGCTGCAAGTTTCTGCTAGCAGCAGTTATTAATTTCTCACATTATGAGAAAAATTTTTAATTTTAAATCTAAATTTACCTTTTGTCGAAGAATGCAGTGTGTGTGTTGAAGTGAAAATTTCATCATCTTTATTAGAATTATTAGTAACTTTGATGTTTTACTGAGTAATGACAAAAACATTCGTTTGAACAAATTTTATTCTCGAGTAAAGTCAAAGGTATCTCATTTCCTAATGTTTCTTTTTATCAATCTACAAAGAACACTTTGGTAAAAAGAGAATAATTTCTTTCTCCTTCAGTGTAAATGAGAATATCAAAAAAAAAAGGAGATCGATGGATGCAGAAGAGTCTCTGTTACATCTATATATTATTTCATGGGATTAAAAGAGAAGAAAAACAAAGACAAAGTAATTCATCATAATCTAAAGGATAGTCAATGGATGAATTTAACCGAATTACGTCGAGAACTCGCGCTTCAAGCATTTCTATGTCAATTACCACCTATTCTATTTCATGCAGAAGAGTTTATTATAATCGGTTGTTTAGTGTATTTGAATAAATATAGACAAGAATTTTATATAATCTAGGAAACGAAATCAGTCATTATAGACTACTGTTAATCAGACGATGATTTCAATGATGCATGTATTAATTGAAATTCCAAGTATGAAAATTATAATTGGCAAGGTACTAGAGATATTTTTACACACATGTCAGCATTCATTGAGAAAGGAGCCTAACAATTGCGCAAACGATACTTGCAGTTGACTTCATGAATTAAATTCATGTTTGAATTAATACACTACGATTCATAAACCATAAGATTTGAATAAGATTGCTATTTTAGTAATAGTATTCAGTGAAAAGGACAGGATTGCATAATAGTCATTATTGGACCATCTTCAGTTTTTCTTCAATTATGACTTAACTAATGCAAAATTTCACGAGAAATCATTTAGTAACAATTACAAGGCTGCTTCTGAAGAGTCTACACATTCCCTTACTCAAAATATTGATACTTTTCGATTTTTTTAGAGATAGTATTTGTGACTGAGTAGAACTCGACTTTTGTTTGGACACCGTTTCTTACATTTTTAGCTGATATTTAACAAATTTCAAACAGAAGAACTGTTCTCGAAAATTTAGCTGGAGACGTCTCTCTTTCAGAGTCTAACAAAAAAAGAGTGAATATATGCAGAAAACCATTTTTCTTATTTAGTTATCTCTTCTTTTGTCTCCTAATATAACGTTTTATAAATTCAGAACATGTTTTCCACTGTGAAAATGGTTTTCTAATCAAATTCTTTTTTTTTCAATGATTCCCAGTATGTTATTGGATTTGTCTGAAAGCCTAGTTTTTCTGATTGGATACTGTAAAGATGAGAAAGTATATCGTTTTGTAGTCGCTACGTTGAGCTTCAGAATCAATCAAAAATCCATGTGATTTCTTTACTTTCTTGAGATATTGCAAAGATAGTAAACAGAAATTATCAGAGAACTATATGACATTCATACTCGGTTCGAACAACTTTTACGTCAATATTCAGCAACACTTCAACCGGTGAAGTCAAAATTTTTACTAGAGAGATGGGTAGTTATTTATATAATAATATGCAGTACTTCTATGTGGAAATCATATTTTGAATATAAATACGTAGAGATTTTTCGGAAGTAGCTTCGTTTTGTTACTAAAATATTTCTCGTGAAATTCTGCATTAGGTAAGTGATGATTAAACGAAAACTGAAAGTGGTCCAAAAATGATTTTTGTACATTTTGCTCTTTTTTCAACTCCGTACGCTTTGATTTCTTCGAGAATACTCAGATTTCGAACCAGATTAGAATACTTTCTTAGAACTTGAACAAATGGTAATTCCAACTTTTTTTCAAAATATGTAGCATTGAATGTTTTAGTTGGATCATAATATCCCATCTTTATAGCTGTTTTTGAAACTTCAATAGAATACTTACACTGAACAAGTGTATCATCGTGTTATTTTCCATAAGAAAAAATCAGAATAGTTCATTTTTTTATCATATCAATGTTAAATAAAATGAACTGACTTAAGCACTGTAAAAAACCAAAATGTTCATCACTCCATCAATAGACCCTACGAGATCAGTACGGTTTTTCGATCAACGTTTATTCTTCTTCTTCGACTGAACTTAAGTTCTCGTTGTATTATTTTGTAACGCTTAATTCGTTTTTTGTTATTTCTTTCAACAGTCGAGGGAGTTTAATCTAGCGACTTGGGATTTCTAATTGATTTTGAACATCATAACTAAAATGAATGAACAATAATAGTCGAAAGTGAAATTCAACAGTTTTTGGCTTTGTCTTCGTTGTCTCTCTAGAAGAAATAACGCGATGATAAACACGTTCAGTGATAACAGGCTATTAAAATTTTGAAAATAGCTATATGGATTTGGCCTTGTGATCTGAGTACCATATTAAGGACGTATCTTTTGAAACAAAGATTCATGTATTCTCAAGCTCCTGAACAATGTTACATGCAAAACAAAATATGTCGCAAAAATTTTGCTACACTAAGTATAAAACAGCTAATATAGGCCAAACGATAATTCATTCATATGGATAAGTTCAACACTGAGAAAAGGTGTTAGTGCAATCCTTGAAGGATCAAAATGTGAAACACGATACACCTACTCTTGCTAATCACAGAGAGATTATTTTATTCTATCTATTTTGATACACAACTCTTTACGATATTTTTACTCAATACCCCAGAACTTTAATAAGGGAATAGTTCCTATATGATAATAAGAGGTGATTGATATACGGTCTTTGATCGTATACCAGCAACGTTTATGACGAAGAGTGGTAATTTTGCTATGATATCTGTTATAGTTTCTGACTAATGCCTGTCACACTCTTTGTGCGGAGGAGAGACGGGTACAAATTTCTATCTCATATACTTCAATACACCGTTTAGGTCATATTTCATAATTTCAATACACCGTTTAGATCATATTTCATAAAGCTATTTATATTTGTATAATTTAATATCATTTGTATTTTAGGTTCACTAAGTGTTATGGAACAAGCACAATTATTAAAAAGACAATATCGCCAACTATACAAACGTCAATATCAGTCAATCAAAAAAAAAGACAAATGTCTTCGTTTTACATTTCCTATTACGTATCCATGCCCAATGAAATTCAAGCGAAGGCGATCATCTGTCATTAGCAATTCTTCTATATTATCTCAATTATCATCATCTTCTTTTCAACAATCGCTACAAAAACAAATGAACAATCAATTGTCAAATACTATGAACCGATTAAGATCAGCTGTTAGTATTTCATTTATTGATGATAAAAGTGGTGATATATCAATAAATAAAATTCCGAAAAAACCTCATTCATCATCGTTACTTAATAATCCATCTAAAAATATATCGACTAATAAAACTCGTTCATTCAATGCATATTTAGGACAACATATATGTCAATTATGTGGTTCAATATTGTCGAATGGTATATGTTCATGTATTGTTCAATATTTGCTAAAATTAAACAAGACTAAAGAAAATGATATTCTCGTTCAACTCAATGACATATTTGAGAATCTTACGAGTAATAATATAATCACGTAACATAAAACAACTAAAGAAAGAAAGAAATATTTTTTTTTTTGGCTCGGTAGGAAAAAATAATAATAATAGTAATAAGAACAATCATTATAAATCACAATAGACAACAAATTTTTGTACGTTTTTCTTTTGTTTGATTTAATGAAGTTGGTGGAAGAGGATTAATAACAACAACAGCTGGATCTTCACCATTACCAAGTAAACCAGTTGCACTTCCTTGAGATGTTTGAGGAGGAAATAGCTTTGCTATTGGTGCATTGCTTACTGTTGGTCCACTTGTACTTATTCCACCATCAGCAGTAAAACTATTTTTTTTAGTTCGACCACGTTGTCTTCTCTTGAAAAATTCTTTACTGTGTGATTTACTCATTGGATCCGGCTATAAGAGAAAATAAAATAAAATTTAACAATTTAAATATTGAAACTGATAGGTCTCAAAAAATTGACGAAAACAAAACAGAGAAAAAGAACAAAACTTCTAAACAATATCGCTCTTTCGATCAAGATCATGTGTAGGTATTGGATTTTGTGATGTAGATGGCATTGTTAATGGTTTATATTGAGATTCAAAACAAGATGAACTATGTCGTTTAACAAGACCATGTTTTTGTTCATATATAAATGAATTTTTCATTCCTATTGATGGACTAAGCTTTGAACGTGATGATGATGTTGATAATCTGTTTGTCACAGAAGATTTTGCATAAGCACATTGATGATAAGGTATTTGTTGATAAATTTTATGTGTTTGAAGTGAATGTAATGACGTTTTTATACCAGTACCAGTTCCACCACCTGTACAACTACTAACTGAATCTCTTAATAGCATATTTGTATGTTGTAATTGATGAAAAAAATGTGAACCCCCACCACCACCATTTGAATAACTTAATTCACTTTGACGTCTTGATTCAACATGTGACCAATTAAAATATCTTTGTCGAAATACTTTAAATAAACATTCATAAAAAAGTTTTCTTAATTCACGACGAAATAATTCTCCTGTAAATGTATATAAATAAAATCCACAACCATGATCAAGATATAATAAAAATCTCATAATACCATCTAATAAAATTAAATATTTTTTTTCATAATTTAAATATGGTTCAATAACAGAAAAAACTCGTAATGGAAATGTTAATAATAAAAAAAGAAATGTTGAAACAAATAAAATATATGCTAATTGTGTATCACGTGGTGAACGTGTTTGTCTTATACCTAATTGTTTCATATATATATGAGATTTACAAACAGAATGCATAACACTTGTATTTGCAATTAAAATAATAATAAATGGTATTAAAGAATTTATTAAAAAGTCCATCCATGAAAAATAATAAATTAAAAAATGTTCATATTTTTCTTTTGATGATCGAATTAAATTTGAACTACACATAGCTAATAATTTATATTCAGATTCATTAATTGTAAAATCTTGATTTCGTTCTTGTTTTGAACCAAAAAATATTAAATAATGTATATTAAGAAAAAATAATATAATATACATGATAATTAATGTACAATATGAATGTTTACGACTAAAAACATTTTTATTCCAAACATAACGCTTGGTTACAGCAGCACGTTCAAGTGATATAACACATAATATCCATACAGCACAATGAGAAAAATAATTAGTTAGAAATTTGTACGTTCGACATATATATAATGAACGTTGTAAAAAATATGATTGAAATGTATAACGTATTATGAGACGTATACAATTTAATGTAATCAATATCAAATCCTAAAGATGACTAAATTAATTGTGTGCTTAAGAAATGAAAAAAAAAAGTTTTTAAGTATTTACCATAAAACTTTCAGCAACAAATAATATTGAACAACCAAATTTTTGAAATTTTTTTCGTGTAAATACAAGTATTGTTAATAATGAACCAATAAAACCAAATGGCAATAATAACCAAGGATATATACGATGAAAATTAAGATTAAATTGAATTATTGAATCATTGGACATATTTGATGATATTGAATAAAGATGATAATATTCAAAATATTCAATATTCATTGTATACTCCTTTTTCTATATCTGATTTTATATCTAGATTAGTTTTGAGACTTTAGTTTTTTTTTTTTTGAACAAAAAAGAAAATACGGGTAGGTTATTGCTGTTCTCTGTAACTCTTTAATCAAGAGGTAGTTGCCTTTCTCAATCCCATTTTAACTCAATCGACAACTTCCTATTTGATCGAACATTCCTCTGTTAGACATATAATATTAAGTTTTGTCTAATTACCTCATTTTTTTTCTTCTTGTTCTTTTTCCGGACAAAAAATAAAGATGAGCAAATATTCAGATAAACAACGATGAAAGAAAAAACAAGAACAAAACAAAAACTAATGTGAGAAATGCATACACCTACAAATTGTGTTAATTCTAACGGAAAATAAATCTCAGACAAAATGATTTTTGATAGAAAAACATGTCCTTTTTCTTGGAAAAAAAGATTTCGATTGACATTAAAAAAAATAACAAGAAATTATGTAGTACGACATCGATGCCATCATGTCCTACTTAATTGCCGAGTAATAATAAGTCAACATAGATATACACGAGTGTATGAACACGTCTTTTGTCTTTTCTTATATATTCTACGCTATATGTTGTCATTGTCAATGGCTGTGTCCTTATTTTTTTCTTGCCTGCAAGGCAATTCTTTTTGTCTTGTTCTAATTAATGTCTTTCTTGTTTTTTATCAATCGATTAATATTGTTCGTCCATCCGAAAGATATAAAACAGAATGAAATCTGTAGGTTATTGATATTCTCAACATGTAACGGATTTGTTTCCGATTAAATATTTGACGGATGAAATTGTTTCATATCATGCTGAGAAAAGTTTCTTTTTTTTCTGTTTTGTTTTCAACTATATATAGATAACCAACAAATAAAATAAGACAACAAAAAACTTACTAAAACAGTATCACAAGAATGTTGATCATGTTTTGAATTCTGCCGACAATCAGACAATAATGTTGAATCTTTTGAATATAATAAAGGTTTTGGTTTTATTGGCAATAAAACATTATATGGATCGGAAAACACTGAAGAAAATTTAAAGACAAAAATAAAACGATAATTTTTCTTTTTGGTTATTAGTGATTGAATATACAAACATACTTTGACTGTGACGTTCTGACAGTTTTGATGCATCACTGGACGGGATATTAAAAAGACTTAACATAGCAACACAACATGTATTTTGTAGGATTGCTGCATAACGTGCTGCAAACAAAAACAAAATATGAAAAGATATAATATTCGTTTCATCAATTATCAATACCTCCAGTTTGTGAAACGAGTAATTTTACAAGAATATGATTGAAATGAAATGCAGCTAAATGAATACCAGTCATTGTTGACCAAGCTGAAAGAAGTCCATCTTGAGAAGCTTAAAATGAAATACATATAATGATAACAAAAAAAGACGACGATTTAAATTGAAATATATTTTACCAGTTATAGCAATGTGACTATCAATCGTAAACGAGACAGAAACGATAGTATTTTTATGTCTATTGAGTTTATGTACAACAGCACCTATTAAAATAATTAAACATTTATTTATTTATACAAAATCAACATTGTTCATTTTCTTTATTAAAAAAAAAAAGTAAGAAATTTAATTGAATTATTTTATAATCAATAACGAAGTGCTTAAATATGTGAAAAAAACAATATATTTCTTAACGGATATGATGAGTTTCTTTTGCCCTATTATTAACACAGTTAGTCAATATTTGACTAATTGTTGTAGTACATAATTACAAAGTTTAATGAATGGAATACTAAAAAGAAATAATAAACTTTTTGGGTACACTAATCAATATTAGAACATAGTCCGTTACATGTCTCATTTTAAGATAAACATATGATCAAAGCTAAACTTAAACAAAAAAACCACAATTTATTAAACATCAGAAAAGTTTGTTAGCGCAATTCCTGATTAATATAAAATTGGAAGTTCTAAAATTAACCGAAGGATAAAAAAAACATGTCCTATAAGTATCATTGTAGAATACTTCAAATCAAATTCATCATTCACAATATTCATTCTACCTTAAGGACATTTAGAAATACACAATACATCATAATTATCCTCGATTGTTCTCTCTTTATATCTATTATTCTTACTCGTTTTCATTTCCCCACGGGGTGATAGAAAATTAAATATCAAATTAAAATTTTCTCTTGTAAGCAAAACTAAAAGAAAAGAAACTATTTACCATCTTTAAATGACCAAATAATAGCTTGACCATCTTTGTCACCAGTAAGGACATGTTTTTTATCTTCGCTAATTGCAACAGCTGTAATTGATTGTTCATGTTCAACAAGAACCTTAACAAGAAAGTAATAACTCATTGTATTGTTTTACAAATTTTGTAATATCTTTTTATACTTGTGTCAATTTTCCGGATGATAATTCCCATAGTTTACAACTACAATCTTCTCCACCAGTAATTAAATATTGAGAATCAGCTCGAAATGCCATACAAGTTATTTTTCCTTCCGTATGATCTATTGAACGAACAACACGTGCATCATCCAAAGACCAAATTTTTAAACTATATTCAATTTTTGAACAAAAAATTCAATTAAATCATTCGCTAAAGGAAAGCATTCTCTTACATATTATCTCCATGTCCTGATACAACATATTTTCCATCAGGAGAAACACCAAGCATTTTACAAGGTACATTATACTAAAAACAAAACGTCAGAATAAAAATATCATCATATATTGACATAATATTTTATTTACTGAATCAATTAATTCTCCTGTATTTGCCCACCATGTTTTAATATAATTTTGTTCATCACTTGATAAAATCTTTCGATTATCTTCTAATATACGTACATGTGAGATTGGTGCTGAATGAGCCTAAATAAATAACAGAAAAAAAATATATATATAATCGTTAATAATATTCTTACAGTAAATTCTGCAACAATTTCTCCCATTTCATTATCATAAACTTTCACTGTTGTATCTTTCGAACCTGACAATGAAAATAAATATGAATGTGATAGTGCAACTTGTGTAACAGGTCCACGATGATCAATAATATGTGCAGTAAATTCTCCATCAACTAAATTGAATAATCGAACACTACCAGTGGCAAAACCAGCTATAGCTGCATCACCTTCACGTGATATTGCTAATGCTGTTATATAATCTGTTGATGATAATGAATCATTAGAATAAAAACTAGTAAATTGTTGTTTTACATTTAAAACATGTATTGTATTCTAAATAATAAAACGAATTTTTAACATTGAAACAAAAGAAAAACTTCGAAATAAAATAAAATACTTCAGCTGCAGAAAAAAGAAAACAATCATCAGTTGATATATAAAGATCATTGACAGCTGAATCGTGTTGTTTTAATGATCGAATAAGTGCACGTGAACGTAAATTATAAACATAAATATAGCCATTATGACAACCAACATAACAGCACATTGAATCATTTGACACTGAAAGACTTGTTACTTCTGATGTATGTCCTTCAAAATTATGTATATCACTTCCAGTAACAAGAGATTTAACTTGAACAGTTGTATTCTCACATGAAACTATTATAAATGTATCATCTGTTGATATAATCATATGTTTTATTGGTGAACCAATTGTGTCAATTATATCAAGTAATTGCATTCCACGAAATGTCCATCGTTTAATTGTTTGATCACGTGAAGCTAAAATAATATGTATTCCGAGATAATGAACTTTATTAGAACTACGTAGTTTTTATAACTTATTTTAATCTAGATATCGTGAAAAAATCATCACTAGAGACCTTTGTTCATAGGAGTTATCAGTAAAAACCACTGTGAACAACACATTTTACCGGCAAGGCCTGAGGCTACAAGAACTCTCTTTAAATTATTTTCTGAGCATGGTTAGGTTTTTCAAAAAAATCAACTTAATTTTCGTCAGCAACATGACGGAATACAAAAAAAAACTATTCTCATAACCGAATGAGAAATTCAAAAGTAATTTCAAACTGTATAAATTATTTTTCAGAATCTTTAGGTGATGGCAAGATCAAATAGCCCTTGTAAAGAACCAAAGTCAAACGAAAGATGATTATGTCTCGTTTTGTCAGAAATGACCTATATGAATAGTTTTTTAGTTTCATTAATTCAATAACAAACCAGAAATCAATAAAGTATCATCTTGTGTAAGTGCAAGAGCAGTAACAGCATCTGTATGTTGTTCAGTTGAATGCTCGATTTCGCCTGTTTCAAGACGAAATACAATAATTAATCGATCACGTGAACCTATGACAATTTGTTCACTATTATGTGAAATTGTCATACAAAGTAATTCATCTTGGTGAATTCTAAATAAAAATTATATTTTTTCATTATTTGTTGTTACTTTTGAAAGAATTCTGTTGGATTAGATTATCTATTTAAACTTGAGAAACCAAATATACCATGTTGTAAAGTAAGTCAATCGACTATGCGCCTCAAATGTGATCAGTTACTAATCATCGTGGTCCTTGATATCAATCGAAAATATTTGCAAGAAATTTTTGTTGTGTACAGTTTTGTAGAGCTTTTCATTAATGAAGAATTTTCGTGTCTTCAATAGTGCCGATAATAGAAGACATGATCAGACATCAAGACTTGTTCGCGATGTAGCTCTACAAATTACACTATTTGGAATTTCTACAAGATGAATGTGGAATGCACAAAATAGGCTTACATTGATAAATCTTAATCAATTTTCTTTTTATAATGTATTTCGATATTTTGACTATCAAAAGTTGATTCTAGTGCTAAATAAACATGATATTCAGAATCAGCATAACAAACTACATGGAAAAGCTTATATTTTAACTAAATATTTTTCCATCAAAATTCGACTCGTGAGGGATCACAAGACGAAATTCAAAAAAAAGTCGCTGAGAGAGAGTGCACTAGTGGAATTTCGGCGGATAAATATTTCGTTAAAATATGAGCTATTCAATGCAGTTTGCTATTCTGATTCTGAATATCATATTTATTTCGCACTAGAATTGACTTTTGATAATCAAAATATAGAAATACATTTATGAAACGAAGAAAATTAGTTAAGAATTATCATTGCATACCTATTTTGGGCATCATTTTCTACGATCGACACTATTAAAGACATGAAGACTCATCATTAGTAAAAAAAACGGTAATAAATCATTGAAAAATTGTATTTATTTGTCTATTGAAGATGTTAGTTATATGAGTTTGTAGTCCGTGAAAAGTTCTGCCAAGCTACATACAAAAAAAGTTCTTTCAAACTCTTGCAATCGATACCAAGCACTGCAATGATTGGTAAGTGATCATACGTTGGGTCCATAATCGATTGAGTTACTCTATAACATTTCATATTTGGTTCCTTGATTCTGAATAAGTCATCTAATCCTATGGAGTTCTTTATTTAAAATTTTTACCTATAACTATTTTCTAATTCACCAGAATTCAAATTAAATAATTTGATAGTATGATCTGTTGATGACGATACTAAATATTTACTATTATGTGTTAATTGAATAGATGTTATTAATGATGTATGACCTAAATAAAAAAGGAAAAAATAATTTTATTATCTATTTCTATTTTAAATGTAAACATACCAGTAAATTTTTTAACAAGTTTTTTTGATGGTATATGATACATAGCTATTTCATTTGAACGTGTCGTACAAAAAATATGCTGATTAAATGTTGTTGATATTATTTTAAATGCTCCATCAACACATGGTAATACAGTTATAATTAATGGTGGCATTGGTATTATCCATGATGATAATGGAACAAATATTGGTATATTACATGATTCACACCAGTTATGTGCTTGAACAAATAATGATTCAATATGTTCATTGTAATGGTTTTTTATATTTCTTAAACGTAAAATTAATTCACCAGCAAGTAAAACAGGATCACGTGTAACAATATTAATAATATTTTTTAATATTGTTTGAACAATAAGAACATCAACATCAAGAATATTACTACAAATTATATCGATTTCCCATAATAATTGTTCAATAGATAAACCATGAATTTTTGCTAGTAGATATTCAAAACAACATAGTGTATATTCTTTCAACCGATCAATATCACCTTAAAAACCAAATCAAATAGAGGATAACAATTAGATTTATTATAAAGATTTAATTAAGGAAACAAAACCTATTACCAGAATGCATTAATTGATACCATAATTCACCTAATCGTCGATAATTATAAGCTGTTTCGGAATAAAGAAGTGGCTGTTGTAGGATAAAGCGACGACCATTATCTCCTCTGTAAAGAAAAAGTTTTACGGATATTTATTTAAAACGACTATCGGAGATAATAAACTAGGAAAATTTATTTCGATTTAGGTTGTTTTTCATAGATTTAAGCAGTTATTATCTTTTACAGTATTAATGAATAGCCAATATTTTCTTCAGTTTAAATGGTAAAATAAAAGAAAGCATCTACTATTGGTTGTTCTTGAGACTGTTTCTAGTTTTGACATCTTCATATTTAAAGGATAATGTGACTAGAGCGAGTTTTATCGTTTTTAAACGAATGAAAACATTATAGTGTCGTTAAAAACTTAGAACCGATGTTTTCAAAGGATGCATTGGAGCTTTACCACAAGAAACTTGATGATTGAATTAATATTCTTATAGGTTCTATGTACACCCTTGTCAATATGTTTGTTTTGTAAAGCTATAGATTGTCTTTTCGCAAAAACATTCCATTAGAATAAAGAATGTCTAAAATCGACAGTGACCTAAAGATCACATTATCGATAAAAGGCCAAAACGGATTTAGGATAAATTCCTGAAGTCTACACGTGCGAAAGTTTCTTAACATAAATTTTCATACAGATAAGATAAATATACATATACTAGATAATCAATGTAAATTCTAACACCAAACGTCTTTCTCTTATCGAATTGTATGCAAAAATTAAAATAAAAAAATTTTGTCAATTCATAGACCTATTTAGAAAAAAACTATTCCGTTGATCAAGTCGTAGCAATTTTTCATTCGTTCAATCAACTTTAAAGATATCTTTTCACATGCAACAAGTGGTGTGAAGTATACATGTTTGATTACTATAATAGTGAAATTATTGCATTTGAATCTATAAACCGTCTAACTTCAACATGGTTAAGTTAGTAATAATATTTTTTGTACAGCGTTCATACTACCATGATGGAACTTCATACGACTGGTTGACAAGAATTTTTCCTATGCTTGATAACTTGTTTCTTTTGAACTTTAAAAATTTTGTATAAATATAGATATCAACAATCGGCTCTGCAGAGAAAACTATCTAGTAAAAGATTGCTGATAAGAAAACTTTCTCAGATGTCGTCTTGCAATTTCAATGATTGTTCTCTTATACATACTACATCGTGTTCTGATAAAAGCTTTAAAAAGATTGCGCTTTCCATTGATCTTAGACCAAACTATTGACTCTTTTCGTAAGAGACCCCATGTTTTCAGAAAACTCATATTTTTGAATTTTGATCTGAAACTTTGCGCATATATAGAACTTAACTAGACTAACTCTCTTAGAAAAATTCAGAATTTTTGAACTGAACCTCTTGAAGATATGAAGCTTTCAAAAAACTTGGAGGTTGTATACACTTTTCATAGAAAACAGTTTATACTTTGAAAGTCTTACATCTCAAAGAGACTTTGTCGAAAACTTCTGAATTTTCTTAAGAAAGTTAGTCCATTTGAATTATGAATATGCACAAATTTTCAGATCAAAATTTGAAAATCTAAGGTTTCAGAAAACCTGGGAGTTCCTAGCAAAAAATTCCACAGTTTAGTCAAATCTCAATATGTACCGGAATTTTTTCAGCACTTTTATTATAACAATATGCTGTATCTATAAGCAAAATATCATAACAATCGGAAGAGAGCATCTGAAGAAAATCCCTTTTCAACTATGCTACCAAAAATGGTAAAAATTGCTCCTTTTTTGTGGTAATATCTATGAAAAACTCTTAGAAGACTTTTTTTTTGTGCTGATAATAATTTTCGACTATGTTCTGATTTAATATGCAGGCAGTAAATATAAGCTTCATAGAAAGTGATTATATCAAGCTAAAGATACATACAACTACTGAAACTCGACAATGATTTCATGGCATTATAAACAAGAATAGTTATATTAATAATCAAGAACATGTATGTCGTACCTCTTATTAGACATGAAAGAATGTCTCAAAAGTTGATTAAAAGGATGAAACTCCATATCAAGCATCATGGCAACTAACTGGGTTATTTTCTTTAGACAAACCAGCGGAATCCCTTTTTTTCTATGAATAAATTTGTCAAATTCCACGACCTTTTTGGCATCCTTATTGATCTTGCCAACAATCAAAATCAATCAGATGTCCAAGTACTGTATACAAATGCTTACCGTCATTCAAAACAGAGTAGAACAGTAAACAAAAATTCTATTTATTTACTATCAAACTTTGTCATAATTAATATTTTCATGAATATCTTCTGTTTTAGAATAAAAAATCATCTTACAATACTAGAGCGAAGCGAAAAACAATAAAATTCTTCTGGTTTTGGTTTCTGCTACCAATTTGAGACTATTAAAAGTTATTCGACATAGGTTTTAGGTTCATACATTCTGGAGCACAACGTATTTAAAAAATGGCATATGAAATTTTCTTTTTCTTATTATCATATAATACCTGATTTGAACGTTTCGATTCATATCAACTAGTGGTTTTGATTCAATAAAAGCTTCAAGAAAATAATTTGAAATATCTCGATGTGCAAAACGAATATCTTCGACTTTTTTTAAATATTTTTGTTTCATGAGTCGTCGAATAAATGAATGACTCCAACAAGTAACAATTTTTAAATCAAAATATCTTACAGATAAAAGTGGACCTAAACAATATATATATATATATATATAGAAATCAAACGAAATAAAAAGATTTATTTTTATTTTACCTAATGTATATTTAAAAGCAATCCATAATGATGGTGGAAAACGTAAATGGTTTGGTAAATTTTTTTGAAAATATTCCAGAAAAAAATCATTATTACATGATAATATATCAAGTAATTCAAGTTCATGAATAGCTGATTGTGATGAACTTATATAATTAAATATACAAGCACAAATTTTAGAACCAAATTTTCTTTCACAATGATCTTTAAAAAAAATCAAAAGTAAAATTATGTTTTGTTGATTATTAATAAGAGAAAAAGAAAACAATTTTTACCAATATAAGCATTAAATATTTCTTCCATATTCAGTTCTGTCAGATCTAATTTTTTTTTACGTTGCGATAAATAACTAAAATAACTTTCATTTAAAACAAGACGTAGAAGAAAAAATATTTGTGGTTGTTTATCTATTTGTTGATATATACATTTTGAAAGAGCTTGTAATACAGAATCTGTTACATTTCGTTTTATTAAATTTAATTCAGATTTAATATATAAAGTTAAATCAGAAATATTAATTGTTTCATTTGTAAATGGTGATTCAATAATGCATTCATCTTTTTCAATTCGTTCAATCATTTCACGTATTTGAATATCACTATGAGGATATGAATGAATATTTCGACTAACAGATAATATCACATAAACCTAAAGACAATTTTAATAAAATAAATTTTTTTTGTTGTTTATCATTTTTTTTCAAAGCTTTTATTAAACGGATTGAAAATGCTAAGAAAAATAAAATCTATGTCAAATTGAAAATTTTAATCAGAATATTAATCCACATGAGATTAAAAATCATGTCACAATATTCATTCTTTTATAATATAAAAAAATCATTAAAAGTCTCGAGGCTTTGAATTACTTTTAATGCTTCTGACTGAAAAAAAAATATTAAAAGAGATATTCATGCATCCCTGTGGCTCGCCAGAGGTTCATTATAAGACAAGGCTATGCTTTTCATTTTTCACTATATCTCTATTTAGTTCATCATTAATCACAGTATTGCCAAGGCTAAATATTGTCTTTCATTGTCACATAGACATCCACAGTTTTCAATCACGTAATGCAGATGTTACTAGTACTCAAAACTTCTACATCTTAACGCATTATTTGCATACATAATAATAATATTCATTAGAGTCAGTCAGTTGTTATTAATCTAGAAAATAGATCTCTATAGTCAAAGATACATAGATATCTCGAATGAACTTGTGCTTAAGTCGAGATTTGATATGCTATTAATTTAATCATGTGGTACATTTGAAAAAACAAATCGAATTAATGTTATTCAGATTATTTGTTGGACAGAAAAATGAATAGATCAATTTTTATGTACTCTAAGGAGTTACTCAATACGCATGAGATCATCAAACAACATAACTGAAACGTCTTTTTAACAAAATTTTGACTATTTTCGAAACTTGTCACCTCTAAGAAAGACAAAAGCTTCCTTTTTTCTTTCCCGTATAATCCTACTCAAATTTAATATTTTAACTGTAACAAAGATTAAACGTCATTTCTATGAGCTAAAAAAAGAAAAGAAAACGAAGAAATACTTTAGGAGGAAGTAATTGAAGTAATGTTTGATAATAAACAATTGATGATGCAAATTGATTTGGTGGTGTTACTTCTTCGATACCATCAATCATAATAACAATTGATTTTTGATTATTTGATAAAGTTTTTAAAACAGTTTGATAATATTCAATATAATTACATTGTTGATCATTGATAAATGTTGGTGCATTTTGTAATGTTTGCATTTGTGTACATATTGAAGTAAATATTTCTGTAATATTTCGTGATCTTGATGTTAAATTAAAATAACGTATTATACATTGAGCATTTTTTCCTAATGTATTCAATAGATAATGGACTAATTTTGTACAAAATAAAGTTTTTCCTGATGCTCGACTACCAATAATTATTAATGGATGATGTTCATTTATATTAGCTAATGATAACCATTGTTTAAATGAATTATTATTTTCAACAAAATTTTCAAAACCTAAACATGGATGTGATGATAATTTAGAATAATGTGTTAAATGTACAAGCGTTTCATTATATAAAATTTTTTCATCATATTTCAAATGATTTGCTATTGATAAATCAATATTACGTTCACATAATGATTTAATACGTAAAAATATAGCTGCATTTAATGTACGTAAATAACGTTGATAATCTGTATCATCTGATTGAAATTCTCCATTTTCTTTCCATGATACATTAAGTACTAGTCGATTATCTTCTATTTTTAAATTATTATCATCATCATTTATTGATAATTTTTGTGTTATAGATTCACGAAAACGTTTTAATTTTTCTTGACGAATTTTGTCCAAACGATTAGTACCATTTAATAAATCAATATATGCTTCATTACCTTTACTTTTTTCATTTAAACCTAAGAAATGAAAGAATAACAAAAAATTTAATACTATGAATATTTCTTTTTTTTGGGATTATTACATATTTATAAAAAACCTTTAAATGACTTAAAATTATTGAATGTTCGTGGTTGTGTGAAAATTTTACTAATAATTTAGAAGAAATCGAAAAGAACTTACGGTCAAACATTTCTAACTATCGGACATCGTTCGACTTCATATTTTGGTTACAAGTAGATTTCGATAAGATTAAATTACACTTAAACGGTATTGGGCTCATTGTTTATGACTGTCTTAATGAAGTTTTTTTTTTGAGAGCAAGGCCTTGCTGAAAAACTCAAAAAAAAGACTTTCGAACGGAAATTTCGTTTATAGGTACGTTTGATGGTCTTGAAAATTTCAATGAAAATGAACATATCTTTCTCGATATATTTAATATTCAAAAAAAGAAACAATTTACAATAAAAATAATGAATCACGAAGTCTACTTGGAAATCAAATATCTCGAGAAAGAGATGTTCATTTACCTTGAAACTTTCAGGAGTATCAAATGTATCTATAGATGAAATTCTATGACGAAACTTTTTTTTTTCAGATTTTTAGGTAATGCTTTGCTTTCAATAAAAGTTTTATTAAAACAGTTACTATCATGAGTCTGAATTCTTTTAAGCTTGTCTTAGTCTTATTAAGACCTACTTGTAGTCATAGTATGAAGCCCAAAGGCGTCCAATAGTTAGGTTTTTATATTGAATGCTAAAACTTTTCTCACAAATCTTTTTCTTTCATACTGATTATATAGAATCTTTTTTCATTTATAGGGTTATTATAATAATAGAGAAATTTACAGCACATGAATAAGAACACTAAACTAATTTTAAGTATAGTAAGGACTGTCATTATTTAAGGAACTGTTCTTTCTGGCATTTCTGAAGAATAGTTCATCAGAATATTTCAAAAGCTGCAAAGAAAAATAATCATCACCTAAAAGCTTTCAGGCGCTTTCCTGTAAGAGATATCGTGATTGCCAAAGCGAGAAATGCGCCCACCTGATTCTAAGTAACAATGCATCTGATGGAGTAAAACATTGCCTTTTAAAAAAAATACTATCCTGTAGTTTGAATAAAAACACCAAAAGACCTGAGAATATGCTAAAAAATGCATGCTTTTTAACTAACGAGTTTCTTTTTTGTATACTTCAGTAAAAACCAGAGATATATTTTATTTGAAAACCAAAAGAAAATAGGCATCCTAAAAAACACTTTCTAGTATAAGTAGAAGAAAGTTTCAGCTCGATTAGAGGTACTGTAGTTGAGGAACAGGGTTGATTTCCCGCTGTTTGTTTAATTAAAAACTTCAATTCTGAATGTTCCAATTTTTCCGCCTACTATAGTGATGTAGTATTTTTTTGAAGTGTGTTTAGTAGATAGAAAATATTTTGAAGTCAATATAGAACAGAAAAACAGTCGACATATGTCTCTTTAATACCTTTGTTTGTGTTATGAAACATCATAATTTTTATTGGAGATCATTTATTTTTCTAAATAACCTAAGAAACAATCGTATAAATAAGCTGCTATTGTATATGTATAATTACACATTGAAAACTATTCAACTATATATATAATTCATCAATGATAATTCTTATGAAAATGATCTTGATTATTTACAGAATGATACGCTTTAAATTTTACTTGACAGGCTTTTTTTTCTTTTATCAATCAATACTAATCTTTAACAATTGAATTAATCTTAGCAAACAACTGAATGATATATTTTGTCATTTCCATTAGTCTATTAACTACATTAGTTGAAAATTTTCAAAAAAAAGAGTCAATCATGTCAAGCGAAGTTTTTAATATATTACTTAAATTGAAATAATACTAAATCTTTCATTAGCGCTGAAACTAAATAATACTAGTCTTTAATTTTAAGAGAAAAAGGTTATTAACAATTTCTTTCCTTAGAAGTTCATTCATATTTCACAAGGTAGAAAAGAAAACCATCAGTTTTCATTTTCTTAGACAAACTGAATAAAATGTCATAATCATAAAATCCATCAAACAGAAAACAACACACAAATATATGCATGAATAAACTTAGACAGTTTTCAATAAGATAAAAATATTATGTTTTGATGTAGCAATAACTATTTTTTTCCTGTCAAAATAACATATTCATATAACTAATTATTTATTCTATTAATAACCAAAATAATTTAAGAGTACATCTTGTCAGCGAAAAAAAAACGTATTCTAAACAGGAAATAAAATCTAAAGGTGTACATACCATCAAATTGCCTTAAGATACACATGCAACCGGATGGAGATAGTTTAGCAGCGTAATTGAATAGTATCTCAACGCCGGAAAGTAATTGAATATCATATAAGGATGATGTATCATGTTTAGATTTTAAATTAGGTCTTTCATTTAGAACACTAATGAATAAATCAGCTAAACTTGTATATACATCATTCCATTCTTGAGTTTCACGTGCACTTATATCATATGTTGATATTGTTCGTGATAATATATTTGAAAAATCTTCATCAGGATCTTTTAATTTGTAAGCTGGTGGTAATAGTTTATCATCTAACAAATACCATCGTTCAAGCAGTTTAACATCTAATCAAACACATGAAGGACAACTTAAAAAACATGCGAAAAAAAGATAATACCTTTATTTAAATCAGATGCGACATTTTTTATATTATTAAAATCTGTTGTTGATAATTCAGTGGGTAAAACAACAGAACCATATTTATTTCCAACAAATGTCTACAAATAAATGATTAAAATTTAATATAATATTAGTGTTTTTTTTCACAAATTAATTCTTACTAATAAAAATAAACCAGTTGATGTTCTATAAGCATCATCAAGTTCTTTCATGTAACGTAAAACATGATATGGATTTCGAGATAAGTCAAGATCCCAATTTAAATTACAATCAATAAAATTAACATAAATACCTTGTGTTAAAAAATATTGTTGTAATTTTGGTAAAGTTTCTGTCAGTAGTATATCTCGTTCAATATCAAATTCTAAATAATAAATATTATAATTAGTTTTATTTATAAACTTATTTTTTTGTGTATAACCATCTTTATTTGATACAATAAGAATTTTAATTTGATTCCAAATTAGTTTCGGTAATTGGCTACCATAAAATAATACTTTGCCTTGCATGACATTTGCATAGGCATCTGTGTTGCTATTGTTATTTGGATGACCGGACACCATTCTTGAACTAGAAATAAGGATTTGTTTTTCTTCTCGTCGTTGACTATGATACCATTTGTCTGTCACGTTTGAAGCTATGAGAAAAAAAACAGAAAAGAAAGCGTGATGTGGAAATTTTCTAAAATGATTACGAAGATTATCAATCAAAGTCACACAAAAAGAACACTCATATTAAGACAAAAAAAATAATGTGTAAATGTATGAACGTTTTTCTTCTTGTTTTTTTATATAAAAAAAAATGAACTGATGATGTTATTCTTCCATTTTGATAGTCGTTACTCTTTTCTTTTCCTCTCTTCTGTGATAGACAACATTTGCTTCTTCTTCTTTTTTTTTTTTAGTTGAATGTATCTGACAGATCCCAAGTGTATCATTAATCAAGATGCCAGAAAAAGAACACTATGACAATGTGTCACTTCTACATTTATGGGCGGAAATGAAGAGAAAAAAATCCCGGTAACGGAAAAAACGAATTTGTTTATATCTGTCTATATGAATAATAGTTGTTATTGTCGTGATGATATGGTGTTAATTGTATATTTTTCTCATGTTTTTATTAACTCTACTCAATCAAGCGATTTCTTTTTCTTTTCTGATAGTCACATAGCAGGTCTCAAGAGACTCTAAGCTTTGTTCTAAATAGTAAACAGGTCACTCTGGAGTATGTAGTACGTCCAGTAAGGATGTAAGGTTTAGCAAGAAGTTAATCCCGAAGCTATTGAACATGATTGAAGACGGTAGTAAATGAATAATGAAAACAAAATTTAGATGAGCATATATTATTCTTCTCCCATTACCGGCATCACTCATTTGTCTCGCTTCTTTCTTCTTCTGACGCATCTTTCTTTTTATTTAAAAAAGTCAGCCTTTGTCGCTCCGTTTTTTTTCATTATTAACATCTCCGGAGCACAGTTGATAAGTAGCAGCAGCATAAGCTATAACTTGAAGACAAAATAGACGTTTTTATCCTGTGTTTGAGTCGCATCTAACATTTTTTTGCAGTTCTTCTCTCTTTTTCTCTTTTTTGTTGTCTAGCATCAGCATGCAGAACGACATTGGTTACATGCGTACACATTGATGTTGTCAATAGATAACAACGGAAAAGTTCAAATGCTTACTACCTCTTATCAACATTATATAGTAAATTGACGAAAATCGACAGTACTTGTTGAAAGAAGTTTCTTATTTTCCTTTTACACTCCATCGAAACTGTCATGGTGCACTAGAGTGCATAGAAAATAAATAGAAAGAGGATTCTTCGGTCATATTACCCCTTCTTTCTATCAAACGGACGAATCGATTATAATAGAAAATAGATACAACAGTATGACTCAATTATATACGTTTTTTAAAGAATTATTGTCGTTGTTACTGCCGCAACCACTAATGATGTCTTAGTTCTACCAAGCGTAGGAGAAAAAAAAAGAAAAGAAATTTAATTATCATACTAGAAAAAAAAATCGTCTATATTCATTTTGCGTCATTCAGTTCGGAAATACTGAGACAGTTTAGTTCGTTTGCATATATATATATATTATGAAACTCCAGGGCAGAATGAATCAAATTTGCCGAAAAAAGAACGAGCTCCATAAATAAGAAATGGCCCGTGCTAACATATACTACACTGATGATTTTCTTAGTGCACTTGCATAAACTAAAATAATATTCTATCCTATAACACGCAAAGCACGTTCTTACTCTTTGTGCTGATTAGTATGATTGTTAAGAACAACAATCTCTATACATTTTGCATGTGTATGTGTTTGTGCGGATGCAGTAGAAGCTAATCGAGTGTAATCAAGTTCGAGACAGTAGAAAGAATATGAAGCAACACTGATTAAAATAAAAATATGCTTGGTTGAAATTCTTTTCTCTCCTTTGTTTATCAAGTAAAATAAAAGCAGCTTGTATTAACAAGAGGCTTAGTAAGATTGTACGGTAAACGATCTCGAGAAGTAGTGTCATCTTGAAAGAAACTATATTTTTCTATTTCCTTCACTATTCATTCATTCGTTTTCCATAATTTATATCGAATTAGAACAAAAAATTTTTTAAATAGATTTAAATTCTATTTATCTAATATTAATAAATTTAAAATAATAGAACATTGAACATGCTAATCTACATTGGTAATTAGCATTATGCATGAAAACAATAATTAGTCGTTCTATTCAAGGAAAATCTTGATTTATAACAAAAGAAAATAATTTTTATGATGAAAAGCATATATAGAAGTGTTCTTTTCTATTGAACAAAATATTTTTTGTCGAACTTCATAAAGAATATTCACGTTAGAGATATAAAGATTTATTGAAGTTTTAATGATATCTATCAAAAAGAATAAATTATCAAGAACAAAAACACTTGAAAAATCAAATTTCTTATCAATAATAATGTATATTATGAAAACAATTCTTCTAACTGTCTAACTAAATCAATCATATTTATATAAAATAAATTCAAAAAAAAATTTTTTTACAAAATATTTCATTTTAAAATTGTAATTATGTGCATAAGACGATAAGTTCTTTTAGATGCTTGTTTTTTCATCTTTTAAAATGTCACTATAAACAAGTGTTCCACTCCAAGGTTATGATCCGAGACAGTGTCATACTATTGGCTGAAATCGATGTAAGTTTAGATAAATAAATTATTTGAAATAGACAACAGCAAAAGAAATTTTATTTGTTAGCCTTTATCGAAAGAAATTGAATGTATCATGTGTCTTAATACAGTTAATGATTCTCGTATGTGTATTCATTGTTCTGTTATTGTCTGTGCCAAATGCATTGAAGTATATTAATATATAATGTTGTTATCAGTTTGAATAATTTATTATTATTGTTTGTAGAGTTGGATTGATAAACAAAAATCATGTCCAAAATGTTCGTAAGTCTTTGTTTATTATAAAAACATTTTCTTACTTTTTCTTATTGTAAAGTCATCCTGTTCAACAAACAGATTTTGTAAAATGTCGTCTAGCAGATAAATTAGTGGAATTTATTGAAATATCAAAATTAAATAGGTAAGAAATAAAAAACTGTAAACTAATAGTTATTTTTTAATATTATTTATTTATAAATTAGTTGTTCTAATCATTCAAAAGAAACACCAAGAGTGTATTGTTCAACATGTAAAACATATGTGTGTTTCAAATGTATTTTAATCCATGGTCAAGTAAAGGAAAAAAATTTTGAATCAACTTTTCCTTTTAATTCTTAGGGTTTTTTTAGCATATTGATCATGAGTATAAATATATTGATGAAAACTATAAAAAAATCATTACACTTAATCATAAACTTCTTGGCTTCATTCGAAAAAGATGTAAAAATAATCAAGATAATCTTGCTGCGCTTGTAAGTTTAATTATCAATAAAAAAAATAATTAGTTTCTTTTTATTAGGAATTAGTTATTCAAACACTACTTAATGATCATAGTGAGAATATAAAACACACTAACACATGTCAACAAACAACAGATTTATTAATCCAAGAAACACAACATTTGTTCGATGATTATCAACGTAGATACCATCTATTTTTCTGTCATATATGTATATTTACGTAAACATATTTGTATTTAGAAAAAAAACAAATCTGTATTGATGTGATAAAAATGGATGAATCGATTATCAAAGATATCGAGCAACGTCTTAATGAAAGCCAAAGTTTATCTGATCAAGAAGAAATCCTGCAAATCCTTCAAAAACATATTCCTTCAACTGCTGAATGAACAGAAAATGTTATATAATTTTTTTTTCATTATGTTGCATTTTGTTTTGTTAATAACTGTTTTTATTTCTGTTTAGAAATAAATCATTGGATGATATCGGAAGTTTGTTTTTTATAAATTGATAATAGAATGTCTGAATGAATGATAATAATATTGATTTTTTTTCTTATGATACGTTTTATAATTTTCTATATGTTTGAGGAAGTTAAATAAAACAGTTATAAAAAAATCTCATAAAAATTAAAATGTTTTTGTTTTCACATAGTTTTTAATTGAAACAAGATAAAAATGTGTGATATTTATCATCAAAAAGAAAAAATAAAACCCTAACCAAGTATAAATTTAAAATTTCTTTTTCTTGAGAAAGTTTTTCTAAAAAAATAATTTTCAGATCAATAATTTTAAGGATATATGTTGCGAAAAAGATAGGGGAAGAATTTGCATTAAATTGTCCTTAAATTTTGGACTTGATAAAGCTAAAACTAGATGCTTTAAATCATATTGTAGATCTTTAACTACCGGCTTTCATGAATACCGGAAGTAGAAAAATCCAATTTACCAAGCCTAAACAATATCTTATTTTCAAAAAGATGAATAGAAAAAACCTTGAAAAGCTTCTTAAAAGATATTGTCATTCATAATTCAATATATTTTTATCCCTACTTTTCAACGATGAAAATCGTTAATCTCTAATCTTGTTTTATTAAAAGTTTTTTAAGACATATTTGTTCTTCTTCCATTATGGGATGACTAATACAGGGTGGTCCAGAAGTTATCGGGCAGTCTTTGATTACGAATAACTTTTGATAGAAACAAGATAGAGAGGTGCGATTTTCACCGCTGTAAAGACAATGCTTTACTGAGAATTTCCGTATATTATCGCTAATATAGATTGATTATAAAATAATCAGTCGGCGATCTTTGGAAAAACAATGATACTTCTATGAATATGACATAGGATAGAGTGGTCTAAAAATCATTCGATAATCTGTAATTGAAAATAACTCTTGTTCTCTTCGTTTAAACAAAGTTTTTCGCATCTCTTTCTCATAGTCATTGACTACGCATCTCTGGTCAATTTGTTATTGCTTCTTGTTTGTGTGCTCTATTAGCATATATCGTGCTCCTTTTTCTCTTTCCATTTGCTTTGTGCGTCTCTCTTCTTTCAACGCATTTCTTTCTTGAGCGTGCGAGGTATTTATAAGTGAAAAGATAAGGAACAGGGGAACTTTTTGATAAAAGCGAATGGGAAGCACATTTTTGGTTG